CTATCTCCTCAACCTGAAAATTATTTCAGGTAGGGGTGAGGTGGTTGAGTCAGGAACTTGCTGTAAGCTCTTGTTGGCCTAGAATTAACAGTAGCTCTCTTGTTGGTCTCCTGTGTGCTGGGATTACAGCTATGAGCCACCATGCCTGGCCTGATAGCCATTCATCTCACCCACTACTTCAAGATGCAAGTCTAGTGGGTCAACCTGAAGGTAGTATGCAAGTAACTTTGTTCTGCCTTTTCTCTGTTCCCTTAGGTTAGCCAGTGTGAGACCTACTGCCTTTTTTTTTTTTTTTTTTTTTTTTTTTTTCCTGTTTTGGTATCTCTGTATTGCTTCAGAACCTGACCTGGAACTCTGTAGACCAGGTTGGCCTCAAACTCACAGAGATTCACCTGCCTCTGCCTCCCAAGTGCTGGGACTAAAGGCACGCATCACCAATGCCCAGTCCTACCTATTGCTTTGCTCTTCAGTATTAACAGTTCTGATGCAGTTGTGATTTGCTCCACCATCAATGGTGGATATGAACTATTCACAAGCAGTCACTCTAGAAGGTGCTTCTTAGTCAGTTTTCTGGCAAGTAATATAAATAGGCTGGTTACACTGAGACATGTATCTTGGCTCTCAGGATGGACTATGAGGCTGGGAAACTTGGGGTCACTAGGTTAATTATGCTGCCTTAACCAAATAGACAATAAGGTAAGGTAAGGAAGATGATGGTGTGTGTGCCTATGTGCAATGTCAGGTATTGTTCCTAGGGTTCCATCCTCCCTGGATTTTTGTTACAGGGTCTCACTGACTGGGAAGTTGGCCAGTAGGCTAGGCTGGCTGGCCAGAAAGCCCTAGAAATCTGAGTGTCTCCACCTCCAGTGCTGGGATTACAAGTGTGCACCACAGAGTCTGGCTTTTTGCCCCCTTTAATGTAGGTCAGAGGATCTTCACACTTGGAAAACAAAAATTTACCATTAAATTGTCTTCCCAGTTGCCCAGCAGGGCACCTTTAATCCCAGCATTCAGGAGGCAGAGTTCTGAGTTCAAGGCCAGCCTGGTCTACAGAGTGAGTTCCAGGACAGCCAGAGCTACTTAGAGAAACCCTTTCTCAAAAAAACAACAAACAAAACAAAAAAGGACTTTAGAGTTGATTCACAGGGAAATGGCACTTGCTGCCAAGCATAACAACCTGAATTCAATCCTGGAACCTACATCATAGAAGAACCCCTATCTCCACAAGTTGTCTTCTGACCTTCATACCTGTGCCATAGCACAGGTATATACCCCCCAACACGCACACAGAGAGAAACATGCACACTAAGTAAACATTAAAAAAAATTTAAAGCCCTTTGAGCTGGTTATGTGGGTAAATGACTTTAATACTAACAAACACTTGGGAGACAGAGGCAGGTGGATCTCAAGAGGTTTTGAAGCCAGCTTGCACCACATAATTCAGGCCAGCCAGGGAGACTTCTGCCTCAAAAAACAGCAACCACAAAACTTTGATTAGGATGGAGAGATGGCTGAGCACTTCTGTTTTTGTTCTTCCAGAGGAGCCAGTTGGGTTCCTAGTGTCTGGGTGGGCAACTCACAAACTCTTGTAATTCCATTCCCAGGGTCTGACATATCTGGCTTTTGTGGGTATAGAATTAAAAATAACATTTTTTTCTTTTGGTTTTTCAGTGTAGCCCTGGCTGTCCGGGAACTCAGACTAGCTTTGACCTCACAGAGGTCCTCCTGAGCGCTAGGATTAAAGGTATTCGCCCCCACCATCTAGCTAATAAATATTTTTAAATAAGTAAATAATAAATTAACCATTGATAGATGTTCTCCCATTCTGTAGGCATTTGACTTCCTTGAGGTGTCTCGGCTGATGATATTTGTCTAACTCCAGGCCTGAGCTTTATTTACCTTCAAGTGTCCCTGGGTTGAGAAAGGGACTTGGGTAAGGGGCTAAGAATAGGACCCAGGAAAGCTGTTTTTTGCTTTGGGATCTTCATACAATTATGTGGCTAAGAGAATTTGATAGGGAACTGTCGTCTCTGATATGACATAGATTCAGCGAATGCTAACTTAACCCCAGATTGAAACCGAGATCCAGTAGAGCAAGTTAGATCTAGACCAGTCAGCTGGTCACTGAATGTCATTGTTAGGGTTCCTGTTTGCTAAAACATTATAACCAATAGCAACTTGGGGAGGAAAGGGTTTATTTCAGCTTACACTCCACAGTCCTTTGCTGAGGGCAGGAGCTAATGCTGAGGCCATGGAGGGAGCTGCTTATCTCACAGAACCTTAGTAAATAAAAATGTCTATTGTAATACAAGTTCTAATAGGTCTTAATAATAAAAGCCTAGAGTCAGGTATTAGGGGGTGAATACTGAAAGATCCGAGAAGCAAAGCAGCCAGCCACTAGAGCTCTTACCTCTACAAAATCCTCAGACTGAAAAAAGGTCAAGATTCCTGTCTCTTCCCACCTGTATTCCTCTCTCTGCCCAGCTGTCTCACTTCCTATCTGTCTGTACAGACCTCCAGACCTCTATGGTTAGCTGGTGACTAGCTCCGCCCTCTCATCTTTAGGCAAGCTTTCTTTGTTAGAGTATAAACAAGATATCACTACAGTTATTATCTGTGTTAACAAAGACTTTGAACATTAGCAAATAGTAATACAGCACTACCACGTAGGTGGAGAAAGCAGATTATAACTATGGCTAAGACTTCTCTGAATAGTGTTTGCCTGGAGTTTCCATAAAATAAAATACGTGGGCCAGGTAGTGGTGGCCCATGCCTTTAATCACAGCAGAGGTAAAGGCAAATGGATCTCTGTGAGTTCCAGAACAGGCAAGACTACATAGAGAAACTCTGCCTCAAAAAACCCAAAATAGGGGTTGGAGAGATGGCTCAGTGGTTAAAAGAACTGGCTGCTCTTCACAGCCATTAGTAATGAGATCTGGTGCCCTCTTCTGGCCTGCAGGCAGACATTCAGGCAGAACATTGTATACATAATAAATAAATCTTAAAAACAAAACAAAACAAAAATAATATAAAAATAAGTCTTTGCCTGGAGTTTTTATAGAAGAAAACAATAACATTTCCTTTTTTAAATAATTTATTCTTATTTTATGTGCATTGGTATTTTTCCTATATGTATGTCTGTGTAAAGGTATCAGATCCTCTAGAACTATAATTATAGACAGTTGTGAGCTGCCATGTGCTGGGAATAGAATTTGGATTCTCTGGAGAGCAGCCAGTGCTCTTAAGCTATCTCTCTAGCCCCAATAATAAAGTTTTCTATTCTCAATCCTCAGAGATAATAAATGATGAACTGAGTATTTGATTCTGAGCCAAGGAGGGGATCAGTGGGTAAAGGGCTTGTCTTGAGGGCCTTTGTTGACTCCCCAGAGTCCACATAAAGTTGGGCAAGGCAAACACTTCTGCAATCCCAGTGTTTCTGCCGTGGGTGGAGTTGCTCACAGGCCCACTGTGTGCATTCACAGTAGCAAACAATGAAGGGGACTGTGTCACAAACCAGGGGATGTCAAAGACCAACACCTGAGGTTGTCTCTGGTTCTGCAAGTGTGCCATGGCACATGTATACACATATGCACATGCATCATGCATACTCCAGAAAGGGGATGAAGAGGCAACAGTGCAGTCTCCATTCTGTCTTCTTTGACAACTAAGGTGGGGGCCAGGGTGCTGGAGAGATGGCTCAACATTTAAGAGCAACCTAAGATTGGTTCCCAGCACCCACATGGTGCTCACAACCATCCAGATCTGGTCTGCTCTTATATTCCAGCCTCTGAAGGTGCAGGCACACTCATGGTACAACACACACACACATGCAGACAAAACACCCATGCACATAAATGCATACATGCAGGTAAAAACTCACAAATAAATCTGCAAAGAAAGAAGAGCACCTTGCCCAGGATGTCCCTTGAAGAACATTTGAGGCCACTTCAATGGCCAGATACAAAATAAAATGACCTGGGAGCTGCAGAGCTGCCCAGTGTTTAAGAGTGGTAGCTGCCCTTCCAAAAGACCCAGGTTTGATTCCCAGCACCCACATGGCAGCTCAGAACCATCTGTAACTCCCAGCTCATGGGATTCTGATGCCTTCTTCTGGTCTTGTCAGGCATTGAGTGCACATGGTGCACCAACATGCACACAAGAAAAACACACATAAAATTTTAAGTTAAAAAAAATCAAGAAAACCACCCTGATTCCTCAAGAACTAAGTTGAGACTGGGTTTCTCTTTGTATTGTGAGCTGGCATCAAATGTTCAATATTCCTGCCTCAGCCTCCCAAGTATGGGACCACATGTATGTCCACCTCACCTGACTTAGTTACCTTCTGATGTGAGGAAATTTATCTTAACTTTACTTGTTACAGTATTTTATGTACATTGTCATCATCATCATTATTATTATCATTATTTGTGTCTGGAGACAGGGTCAGTCTTTGTAACCATGGCTGGCCTGAAATTTACAGAGATCTGGATGCCACCTAGTGTGCCACCATACATACATACCTGGCAATCCAACTTATTTGTTTTGTGTTTTTATGTGTTTTTCAAAACAAGATCTTTCCCTGTAGCCCTGACTGTCCTGGAACTCACAGAGATCTGCCTGCCTTCTGAGTGCTGGGATTAAAGGCATGTATATGCCACCAGCACCCAGCTTGGTTTTGTTTGTTTGTTTGTTTTGCTTTGTTTTTGTTGTTGTTGTTGTTATTTTTAGAGAGGGCATCTCTCGTCTCTCTTTGTAGCTGTAGCTGGCCTAGAATTCACAGAGATCCACCAGTCTGCCTGTGCTGAGATTGAAGGTGTGTCCCACCATGCCTGGGTCTAGTCCACCATTTTAAAATAGGTCTCTTTAAGTGTGTCAGTGGCAGAATATGAAACCAAATAACAAATTTCTAATTCCTAGTCTTGTGTTTCTCACATTAATTCCTTCCTGATAATGACCTAGCAAACCATATTTAGAATTGGACCTTGGATTTTCTGTTACAGATTTATTGCCAAACCATGTGCACTCCATGTTGGCATCGAAGATAGTGTTCTCTATCGGGTCGAATCCAATGATACCCTTGAGAAGGTGTTCATATCTATTACTAAGGTAAGTAAGCAGAGAACAAGAGATGGAAGTCACACGAAGGTTGCTCTGTAGGTGGCATAGAGCATGTAAGAAAAGGTAAGGTAGGAAGCAATGGTTCTTCATATTTGGCTGGTCTGCTCTGTACCTCTGTAGAGAGCCTTAGCCTGTGCTTACTACTGTACTTCACCCACCTTTAAGTTTTACTCCTTAGTGTCTACATCTGCCTAAACTTCTCTGCCTAAACACACATTCTGTCTTATTTTCTCTTTTCTTACACCAGCTTCTGATCAAGATGAGGGTGGTTCTAGTGGCCTTTGCAATTTTTGTTTTGGTTTTGGTTTAGTTTTAACATGTATATGAGTGTTTTGCCTGCGTGTATGTGCCCTACATGTGTATGTGCCTGGTGCTGGGGGAGGCCAGAAGAGGGCATTGGATTTCCTGAAACCCGAGTTACAGATGGTTGTGAACTGCCATTTGGGTGCTGGGAATTGAACTCAGTTCCTCTGGAAGAGAAGCCAGTGCTCTTAACTGCTGGGCCATCTCTGTAGCCTCCAATTTATATTTTGAATGTCATTTTTTGTTTGTTTTTATTTTGTTTTTACTTTTTGTTTTTCAAGACAGGGTATTCTGTATAACAGCTCTGGCTGTCCTGGAGCTTGCTTTGTACACTAAGTTGGCCTCAAATTTGATCCACCTGCCTCTGCCTCCAGAGTACTGAGGTTAAAGGCATGTACCACCACACCCAGCATTATTTATTTCTAAAACATAATTTTGGAATTGAAATTAGAAAAAATACAACCTGTGTGTGTGTATGTATGTGTGTATGTGTGTGATGGGTAAATGAAAATGTAAATGATAGTGAAAGTGTAAAATGCTAGGTAAAATTCAGTTGCTTTAGAATTGCCATTCTAACTATATAGAAGTTTATCAAGATCTATAGAGTTTGACACTAGACAAATGTTTGTCCTAAACTAGCAGTGTGATGTTTTTATTAGAATAAAGTGGCTTTATTTAAAACTGGTTTGGCGATCAGACCTGGAAGAGGTAAATACCATTTGAGCCACTGTAGCTGTCACCTCTTTGCCACGTAACTTGTGAATTGGGAGTTTGTGGGGAAAGGGGTGTTCTGACTCTGGTTATACATTTACAGTATCCTGATGAGAAAAGGCTGGAGGGCCTATCAAAGCAGCTGGACTGGGATGTCCGAAAAATCCAGTGCTGGTTTCGCCATCGGAGGAATCAGGACAAGCCTCCAACGCTCACTAAATTCTGTGAAAGCATGTATGTGTGCAGAGGGGAGTAGAGAATCAGGGGTGGGGTACAACTAGACTGTTTAGTTCACAGACTCTAATGCTTAAAATAAGATTCAAAAAGCCAGCAGGGCAGTGGTGGAGCACGCCTTTAACCCCAGCACTCAGGAGGCAGAGGCAGGTGGATCTCTGTGAGTTTGAGGCCATCCTGGTCTATTTAAAAAGCCAAGGGGAAATGGAAATAGTTTATGTCCTGCTGATTCTCACCAGGTCTCCTAAGCGAGTGAAGGGCAGAATCTTCACAGAAGTAGGAAAGAAGAGAACTGGGAAACTGGTCACCTTTGTCCCCCTGGTCACACTGTCCACTAGGGCGGTCATTCTATTGTGCTTCTTCTTTTCAAACAGATTGAGATAAGCATGATGACATACACACTTTTAACCTCCAGCATCCAGAAGACAGGCAGGTGGACCTCCTGTTCAAGGTCAGCCTGGTCTATACGTCCAAGTTCCAGGCCAGCCATTGTTATAAGCAGTTTTTCTGCAAGCCTGCTCCCAGAGCTGTGCCAGCTCCAAATAACACACAGAGATGCTGTATTAGATAAAAAGCTGTTGGCCTGTTATTAGCATTTCTTATTGGCTAGCTCTGTCTTAAATATTAACCCATTTCTATTAATCTAAGTTTTCACATGGTCTTGGCTTACTGGAGAGAGGGCCTGACCTCCTACCCTGTTGGTCCTACATCTTGATACTCCTCCCTACTCCTTTTTCTCTCCAACTAGTCTCCTAGTCCCACCTATCTTGCTTTCCTATTGGCCAACAGTGCTTTATTCATTAACCAATAAGAAAAACATATTTACAGAATGACATCTCCCATCAAGCCATGGTTACAAATTGAGACCCATGTACTTTAAAAAAGAAAAAAGTGGGTTGGAGAGATGGCTTAGTAGTTAGGAGCACATGATGCTCTTCCAGAGGACTCCTGCTTGTTTCTCAGCACCCACATCAGGGAGCTCATACACACACACACACACACACACACACACACACACACACACACACACACACTTACTTTAAAAATTAATGATATAAGCTGGGTGTGGTAGTCCACACCTTTAATCCCAGTACTCAGGAGGCAGAGGCAGATAGATCTGTTGAGCTAAGGTCAGCCTTGCCTAGAGAGCCAGTTTGAGTTCCAGGACATCCAGAGCTGCAAAGTATTTTCTTGAAAAACCAAAATAAATAAATATACTGAGTCTTTTAAAATAGATAGGGGGTGAGTTCCAATAACTGCACTTGTATAGGTAGGTATGGTGTACCCTGTTCACCATGATAGAAATAGTGCCAACTGCTCTATATATATGTCTTTGTGGGAAGTTTCCCTTTTCTGAGATGTTGTGCTTGAAATCATAGAGTTTCTTTGATTTTTCAATGCAGAGTTTCTCTGTGTAACAGCCCTGGCTGTCCTGGAAATTGCTTTGTAGTTCAGGCTGGACTCAAACTCACAGAGATCCCCCTGCCTGCCTCCCATGTGGTAGGGTGCTGGGATTTAAGGTGTGTGCTACTATGCATGGTGAAATCAGAGTTTTTAGTTCTCTAGAAATGGGTGTTAGTCACTGTCTTGCAATTTAAAAATTGGGTCTTATGAAGGAGTCCAGTAGGAAAAGAAATCAAACTAGTGTATGTGTTTGTGGGAATCTATTTTAGACAGAGGCTTGGAGCTGACTCTGGCTTTTTAGAGATCAGTTTTGTACTATCCTGATTTCTCTAGCCTGAAAGATTTTTTTTTTTTTTTTTTAAGAGTACATTTATCTAACCTCTACTCTTTGCTCATCCAGGTGGAGATTCACTTTTTATTTATGTGTATTCTGCTACGGAATTAGATTTCTCTGGTTGGTGAGTCTAAACTCTTTCTGTCCTCTTACTGGGTTCTACAAGTGTCTAGAAGCCTTGGTTTCTAGAAATAAAAATTAAATACTTTTATCTATTTATATTTCTTTTTGAGATAAGGCTGGCCTTGATCCTTCTGCCTCAGCCTCGCACTGCTGGGGTTACAGGTGTATGCCACCACCACTCCCAGCTTAGGTAATTACTTTTCCTTACATTTTTTGTTATGATGCATAGCCTCAGTTTATATGCAGTTTATGTACAATTTATATGCAGGATATATGCTAATATAATATCTTCTACCTTGGGTTTGATGTCAATAAACTCGAGACTTACTGTTTCCCTCTAAATAATGTTAGTAATTAAGACAGAATAGTACTTAGTGATTTGCAGAGTAAATATTGTCCTTTCTTGGGGGGCTGGAGAGATGGCTCAGAGGTTAAGAGCACTGGCTGCTCTTCCAGAGGTCCTGAGTTCAATTTCCCAGCAACCAGATGGTGACTCACAACCATCTGTAATGAAATCTGGTGCTTTCTTATGGTGTGCAGGCAGACATGCAGACAGAACACTGTATACATAATAAGTATATCTTTAAAAAAAATTGTTCTTTCAAGAGGAAATCAAGTTGATAAACATTCATGTATTTGTTTTATTTTGAAATACCATTTATGCATTTGTTTTATTTTGAGATGCAGTCTCCTATGTAGCCCTGGCTGGCCCTGGAACTTAGACCAGGCCCTGCAAATTAGATCAAGCTGACCTGAAACTAAGTGATCCATTTGCTTTTCCCTCCAAAATACTAGAATTAAGTTTGTGTAATCTGCCCATCTCACCTTAATTTTTGAGACAGGCTCAAGCTCTCACTAGACTATAGCTCACCAGACTTTCCCTGTCCCTCACTGGAATTGCACAGCTCTGGTGATCTACGGTGTATCTGGGAATCCTAACAGGTCCTCACACTTACATAGGAAGCGCCTCACCAACTGAGCTCTCAACCCATCTCCCCAAATTTTGTTTCAGTTTTAAGACAAGCTATTGAAAGTGGTGGTGGAAACCCTGTCTTGAAAAACCAAAAAGAAAAAAAAGACTCTCATTAGAACTCCAGACTTGCTGCGAACTCATAGCAATCCTCTTGTCTCAGCCTCTCAAGTACTGGGATTAGAAGCAAGACACTATTATGCCTGGCTTGGGTTTTTTTGTTTGTTGGTTTTTCCAGACTGGGTTTCTCTGTGTAGCCCTGGCTATCCTGGAACTTGCTTTGTAGACCAAGCTGGCCTCGAACTCAGAGTTTGCCTGCCTCTGCCTCCTAAGTGCTTGAACTAAAGGCATGCACCACTATACCCAGCCCTATATTTTAATTTTTTTGTTTGTTTGGGTTGTTTGCTTGCTCATTTATTTTTGGCTTATCATGATATGGTTTCTCTATATTACAGCCCTGGGTGTCCTGGAACTCACTCTGTTGACTAGTCTGGCCTTGAACTCACAGATACCCTCTTGCCTCCCAGGTGATGGGGTTAAAGGCATGTGCTACCACCTCCTGGCTTCTATATTTTAATTTTTTAAAATTGCAAAAATAAATATAAAATTTAAAAAAGACTAAAGAAAAGGGGTCTGGAAAAACACATTTAAAAGAAAGGAAGAAGGAAGGAAAAAGAAAAGGGACTGGAGAGACACTCAGTGGTTAAGAACAATTGCTGCCTTTCCAGAGGAACTGAGTTTGGTTCCCAGTACCTAGATCATGTGTCTCACAACTGCCTGTAATTCCAGCTTAGAGGGATCTAACACCCATTTATAGCCTCTGTGGGTGCTGACATGTGTGGCAGGTACACACATAAATAAAAAATAATTTAAAGATGTAAGATGTAGAAAAAGAAGAACAAAGTAAATTAGAGAAAAGAAACAATCAACAGTAGAAAATGTGTGGCTCAGTTAGTGAGGTCCTGGATGTGATACCCAGGCCTGTGGGTTGAGGGGGCAGAAATTAATGAAATAGTCATTAGACGAATAATGGGTAAAATTGATAAAACCAAATGTCAGTTCTCAAAAGGTTCAGTTAAAATTAATAACTCCATACCAGGTGCAGTGGCATCTACCCATGATTCAATGCTCAGTAACTAATATATGAGGTTTGGGAGTTTGAAGCCATTCTGGGATACATACTAAGACCCTGTCTCAAAAAGAAAAAAAAAAAAAGATAAACTATAGATGAGGGAAATATGAATTACTAATATATAGGGGCTGTCACTACATACCCTCTGAATACATAAAGATAGTATTGTGAGCACTTTAAAACTTAAACAACATTAAAATTAAACAACATTTGCTGAGCCTGGCGGCACACACCTTTAATCCCAGCACTCGGGAGGCAGAGTCAAGAGGCAGAGTTAGGCAGATCTCTTGAGTTCAAGTCTAGCCTAGACTACAGAGTTGAGTTCCAGGACTGGTGGGAGGGAATAAAGATGGAAAGAAAGAACAAATTGCATAAAGATGGCCTCTGATCTCTACATAAGTGCTGTCTCCAGCACACACACACACCCAGTTGGGTGTTCATAACCACCTATAACTCCACCTCCAGGGACCCAACACCTCTGGCCTCTTCAGGCACCTGCACTCATGTACATAGGCAAATATACATACATAGTTTCTTTGAACATTTCGGGGGCTAGGATTGAGAGATGGTGTGTACTCTTTACCTCTGTGCCATCTCTTAACCCTAGCCCCTGAATTTTAAAAGATGGGTTTTTAAACTATGTATGTGTATTTGTCTATGAGTACAGGTGCCTGAAAATACATGCTATTCTTGTAGAAGATCTGAATTCCATTCCCAGCCACCCATACTGGGGACTGACAATCACCTGTAAGTCTAGCTCCAGGAGATTTGACATTTTTTTTTCTGGCTTCTGGGCACCTATTCACATGCATAGTGTACCCACATTAGATAGATTAGACAGACAGACAGACTTTAGTTCTTTCTTTACAATTTAGGGCTAGGAAGATAACTGTGTTGGGTCAAGTGCTTCCCATGAGAGTATGAAGGCCTGACTTGAGTTCCCCAGGTCCTCTGTGGCACAGGCTGGCCTGGAACTCAGAGCAGTCCTCCTGCCTCTGTATGCACCACCAGACCCAGCTAGTCTTTGGCTTGTTGACACAAGGCGTCACTATGTAGTCCAAGTTGGTCTGGAACTCACTGTACAGCCGGACTACTCTCCAACTCAAAATCTATACTTGAGAGGCAAAGGAAGGAGGATTTTTGTGAGTTCAAGGCCAACCCGAGCTAAATGGTGAGACAGTCTCAAAAGCATCGAGATTTTTTTTTTTTTTTTTTTTTTCCCTCTCTTTTTGCCTCATCTGTTGTGATGGTTTGATTTGATTTTTTTTTTTTTTTTTTTTTTTTTTTTTTTTGAGACTTACTCTTGCTAAGTAATCCTGGCTAGCCATTAACCTTTTTGGTTCAGACAGGCCTCAAACTTGACATCACTGCTTAAGCCTCCCATGTACTGGGATTATTGGTACACCACCACACATAGATTTCCTCCTTCTTATACCCTAGCTTAGAGAAAAGGACTGTATAGGCTAGATCTTGTAACAGTGTGGAGAAATAAAGTCCAACCTGGATTATGTTTTTTCCTTAGACACCTTGGTTCTGGGACACTCGACAGTGCTGGCAGAACTATCCATATCAGGTAAGATCTAAGCTGTTTCAAGACTGTGCGTGTGTGAGGTAGGGTGGATGACAGTGCACTGTCAGTGCAGAACAGGTAGCGAGGCATAGTTCCCTGGTACTGTGAACCTGCCTCTTGAGTCATATATTCCAGTGTCTATATCCAGGCCTATAGTGGAAATTCCTTAGTTATGCTTCTGCATGCTCCTGCTGTACTGGAAAGAAAAGCAGTTCCCTAGTGTTAATAAGGTCCTTCCTGAATCAGATCGCTTCTCTTTTAATCAGGAGCTCTTAGAGTCCTCATAAAGGCATCTTCATTCTAGTCTGTACTTTAAAAGTATCAGGGAAAGACTGATGGAAGAGGGAAGGCTTCAGTCAGTTCTGTCCAGAATTCCAGATGCACTGATGGGATTGTAATGTGTATGTAGTAGCATTATGTCCATCTCTAAAAGATGAGATCCAAGGTGAGTTTACAGAGGCACAAAGGAAATGTTGGCATCTCATACTGATCCAGTGTCAGCCATTGCAGATCTTGGGAAACAGTGAGAAGAAAAACTAAATAGTGTGGGTGCTGCAGAGATGGGATGTACCTACCTAGCTGCTGTGCTAGAAGCTCTTTTCTCTTCCAGCCACTCTCAAGAGAGCTTTATTACTACTACATCATGGAACTGGCCTTCTACTGGTCTCTTATGTTTTCTCAGTTTATAGATGTTAAAAGAAAGGTAAGTTGTCAGTCCCTCAGCTGCTTTCATTCAGTCACTACCACCTGTGGTCACTACCATTGTGATGCACTCTCCCTCATATGAGAGAGTGGGTGTGACAGGACTGTCACTAGCTTTCCATAGTGTTTCCAGAAATGAGACCTAACTAATGATGGAATGTGTTTAAGCGGGGAGAACAGCAAGGCCACAGATAAGCATGTCCTGTTCTTTATATCAAAGCTCATGGAATTAGACAGAACTTGGGGTACCAAGGCCTGATTCAGAAAAAGGCTTGATTTTAGAAAACCAAGATTCAGAAAAGTAAACTGAACCCATGAAGCAATGATAGTTTGAGATGAGTTATATATTATAAAACCCGACAGGAAGGACAGAATCTTCATATCCACTTCCTCCCACTCTGTGTTTCACTGGGAAGAGAAGTATTTACTAAGTATTCCAGCTCCAGCTGCTTTTGTTTGCCTGTGACCACAACTCCTGACAGAAGCCCTCTAAGGAAAGCTTGGTTTTGGTTCATTTTGAGAGTTTCCTCCATCATAGCAGGGAAGGTATGGTGGAAGCTTAGTTCATAGCCACAGGAGTAGTGGTGGAACAGCTACATCCCTGAACCAGGGAGCAGAGAGAGTGCTCTGGGAGCCAGAGCAACTGCCCTGGTATAGTCTTCCAAGGCCAGCCCCTAACCTGCAGCCAGCTGGGGCCCACCATTCCAAAAGGGCAAAAGTAACCCAGAGTGTAAGCCAGTGAGGGAGGACACTTCACACCTAAACCACGTCTAATAATAATTTACATGTAAACTATGTAAACTTATATAATGCATAATATATTATATGTAAGTAACACAATATTTATTTATAAAACTGTGATTTCCTTAGTTTTGCATGTGAGCCCAAGGAGGTGGAAAAAAAAAAACAAAACAAAAAACAAAAAACCCAACAACAACAACAACAACAACAACAACAAAAAAAAAAAATGAGCCTGAAAGCTGGAAGTATTTGCAGTAACATGAATTGTTTATCTAATAAGCAGTTCTCTAGCACTTTTAAGGTCCATTTGGTTCTGTGTATGTGTCTGTGTGTATGAGTCTGTTCAGACGCCCACAGAGGCCAGGAGATGGTGTCAGATCCCTTGGAGCTAGAGTTAGAAGCACATGAGAGCCACCTACATGGGTGCTGAGCCAAGAGAGTTTTGGGTGGGTGGGCAGGCATTCCCCTAGCCTCTCCTTTGCTGCCATTTCTTCCTAGGACTTCCTGATCATGTTCGTGCATCATTTGGCCACTATTGGGCTTATTACCTTCTCTTACATCAACAACATGGTTCGAGTGGGAACTCTGGTTATGTGTCTCCATGATTCCTCAGACTTCTTGCTGGAAGTAAGAGCTCAACATGCTGCTTTATCATTCCACTTTCTCTTTCCTGACGTGTGAGAACTGACTTTCTCCCCAACTCAATTTTTTCTTTTGTCCAGGCTGCCAAGCTGGCCAATTATGCCAAATATCAGCGGCTCTGTGACACCCTCTTTGTGATCTTTAGTGCAGTTTTTATGGTTACTCGTCTAGGAATCTATCCATTGTGGTAAGTGCTCAAAGCTGTGAACTGTGGTAGGTATCTAGTGATACCTTTTGCCAATCTAGTTTTTCTATTCTGTTCTTGCTGGTCAAACACTAAGAATCCCAGTACCCTGCTTTTCCCTTGAGCTAGACTGAACCTTTGTGGACTCTTCCAGGACCTCAGCTGCCTCATGCAATATTTCTAGTGAGCCAGGGTGTGTTCATTATTTACTTCTGGCTTTTCTTACTCATCTCTGCCAGCAGTCTTCAGTCTATACTTAAGTCACTCCTCACTCCTTTACCCTCTTTTGCATTGATTACAGGGACTCTAACTTTTCTTGCTTTGATCTTACTGTATGGCCTCTTCCTCATCCTGACCAGCACAGACATGTGCACAAATTTCTCTTCTGTACTCATTAGACTACCGAGTTGGTGACTATTGGAAATTTTGCTTAGTCTCAGCAAAACAACCACTTATTGCCCTCTGTACCAATCTAAATTATTCCCAGGATTAGAGTCCTACTGCTGTCCCAATGTTGTGAAGCTGCTTATTTGACGTGATTAATAGTAAGAAACTCCATCACTTCCTAAGAACCCATCTCTTCCTCTTGTCTCAGAAAATAAAAACACTGCAGGCTCCTCTGTTTACTCATTCATTCCCTGTGAAAGAATATCCCTGTTACTGCAAAGAATGTGAAGTATGTAGAGGAGCATAGAAGACTGTCCTGGGGACTCAGCTTCCTCTACCTAACTGACCTCTAGAGTTTGACTGTTGTCTCCTCCTCCTAGGATTCTGAATACAACCCTCTTCGAGAGTTGGGAAATGATTGGGCCCTACCCTTCCTGGTGGCTCTTCAATGGCCTTCTCCTGATCCTACAGGTTCTGCATGTCATCTGGTCTTACCTGATTGCACGAATTGCTTTTAAAGCCTTGATCCGGGGAAAGGTAAGGCTGATGCGTCCTTCTTACTTTGGACCCTGTAGGACCATGGGTATTACTCAGCAGACCTCTGTCCATCCTAGGGACCCTCAGCTACACGAGAAGCCCCTCGGTCAGGCTAGGGATGCAGCTCAGTCACTAGAGTGCTGTGTGGAGCCCTGGGTTTGGTCCAGGGCCACATAAACCAGGCATGGTGGCATATGTGTGCCTGTAATCCCGGGGCTAGGAGGTGACACAGGAAGGTCAGAAGATCAGGTCATCCTTTGCCACATAATGAGTTTGAGGCCAGCCTGGGATATTTGACACCCTATCTCAAAAATAAACAACAGAGTGTAGCTATTGATGTAAAGCTGAAGATAGGAACTGGGAAGCCAGATGGTTGGACTGTCTAAGGATGAATGGTGTGGTAGTTCACTAGCTATTCTATGGTGACCATACTGCAATGCACAAGATTGGTTTATATTAGGAACTAAATATCTGCCTTGCTCACTGTCTGAAGCAAGAGTCTTCAGTGAACATGTATTTGGTTTTTTAGTGCACAAAACACAAAGATACCCCTGCCTTTCCAGACATCGTTGGAGGCTAAGACCAGGGCCTCATGCCTGATGAATAAGCAGCCTTCCATTCAGTTAATTCCAGCCCTGAGAGGCACCACTTAATGATAGAACATAATTGAAATTTGCAAGTTCTAAAGCAGTTACACTTTGCCAAGCCAGAATGCTGTCAGTTATGCAGAATCCCAAGTGGGATGGGCTCTTCCAGAGATATTAGTTCCAGATTTATGCCTGGCTATTTATTTCTTGTCATTGTTCTTGGTGGCTGTAATTGGTTTCAGAACTTGTGTGGTGTGCTGTGCCTATGTTGTAGCTACTGGACATCTCTCTTCTCCTCTGCCTTTCTTTCCTGACTAGGTGACCTACACAGGAGAGATTAGACGCAGACTCTGTACCTTCTCTCTTTTCACCTCCTTCCTCTTTTCTATGCCTGGTGGGAGCTGGACAGTTTCATCCTTTGCATGTAAGTGCATCTGTGCTTCTCGTGTTAGAGAAGCACCTGTCTGGATGGGTCCTCCTTCCCGCTGTCCTTCCTGGTCCGCCTGTCTCAGAATGTGCTCACTTGCCTAACCTATGTGACTGTGGTTGACTGGAGTTGAAGTTACCAGATTCCTTCCCTAAATTACGGTGAAGACTAAGTCTAGTTTTTAATGTGTTTTGCTTTTGAGCTTTTCCAACTCCAGTCTGGAGACGTTCTGCCCTCTGGTGAGAATTCCCTAGACATGGTGATCATAGCTCTCTGGAGTTGAGAGCCAACAGCTACAGTCACTGCAGTCACAGAACTCATCTTCCTTTATAAGAACAGCTGGAGCCATGACCCATCACCAGAATGCTTTTAGTGCAATGTTTGTATGTTGCAGGGGTCATCATCCTAATGCAGGTTTCACTGGTTTCCTCTCCTTTATTTTTAATGGCTTAGATGAGAGGAAAACAGAAAGCAGGCAAAACCTATTCACAGTCGCAGCCAATGGTCCAGATAATATTTTCAATCAGCTGTCACCTTAACATAGGCTAGATCAAAAAGTGTACAAAAGTAGTCTTTCTGAGGTTCATCTGCCTTGTGATGCCATGAGTAGTAGTATGTTTACTGCCTGTGGTCCTGTCCCACTCAGGTGTCTAAGGATGATCGAAGTGACGTAGAGAGCAGCTCAGAGGAGGAAGATGAGACCACCCACACAAACAACCTCTCTGGCCGCAGCTCCAGCAATGGTGCGAACTGCGTGAATGGCCACATGGCAGGCAGCCACTGGGCTGAAGAGCATGGGACTTGTAAAACTGTTGGCAACCCACTCTTTGGGGCCTCCCCTCATCTACAGTCCTGTGACTAGAGGGACCGCAAGGCACTGAGGAGGATCAAAGAACCAAACAGTTTCATGTTTTCAAGAAACTGCTGTTTTGTATTTAATGCCCCCGGTCCTTTCAGTAATGTTATTTGCTCTGTGTTTGTCTGTTTTTGTTTGTTTGTGCATTGTGCATATGGATGAGTTTCATCGATTGGGTTGGGGCACAGTTCTGGACCACTAGGCATTGCCTAGTCACTTCTGAATGTACCTCAAGCCCAGCGTTGGCTGCATCTTGAATTATGCTGTCTCCAGACCATCTACATCCTTGTCTCCTGGCTCTTGAGGCTCTAAGTTCCTGGTCCATCTAAATAAAAGGTGCCACCAGATTCAGCTCCAGGCTTTGGGAACTTTTTCTGGAGAAGGAAGCAATGTTTCACTTGATAAAGGACTTTGGCTAGATACCCAAGGATCACTGTGGCCCCTAGCTACATTCCCTTCCTACCACCTGATAGTGACAGGGACACTACTGATGCCCTGCTCTTTACTCAATGGTACGCAGGGAGGGGGATGGGAGAGGATGAGCTGAGATATGGAGGGCAGCAGCCACTGGGTGTGCTGTTAACGGTTTTATACTATTGTTTACTCTTCTGTAATTAAAGTGTTTCAACCCTCCTCTACTGTCTTCATCTCTTTAATAACTGTCTCTAATGCGCTGGTTAAATTTGGGGCTATTTGTTTGGAGACAGGGTCTGCAAGTCTGACCTCAGACTTGACATCCGCTGCCTGAGGCTCCTCAGTGCTGGCATTACAGACATGTGCCATAATTAAGATCCAATCCCCCAGGGACGCTGAAGAGAAAAGTAAAGCGGTTTGCTCTTCCAGAGGACCTAGGTTTGGTTTTCAGTACCCACCCACATAGGGCAGCTCAGAACTGCCCCATAATTCCAGTTCTGGGGATATGATGCCCATTTCTGGCTCCACCAGTCACCTGCATGGGTGTATGGAGATGGGGTTCTTTCCTGCCTGGTCCCACAGGTGTTCAGGCCCAAATAAACACTCAGAGTCTTATAAACTATTTGGCTGATAGCTCAGGCTTCTTATTGGCTAGCTCTCTCTTAGATTAATAAAAATAGATTAATAAGTATTTCCACGTGGTTTTATCTTACCAGAGAATGCCTGGCGTACCCTGTCTTCCCAGTAGCTCTTCGAGGTCTCTCTGCATCCTCTCCCAGAATTCTCCTAGTTTTGTGGCCCCACCTATACTTCCATCTGGCCACTGGCCAGTCAGTGTTGTCTACATCAACCAATAAGAGAAGCATATCTACAGAAGGCCATCCCCCATCGGGTGTGCATTTCTAACTCAAGAGGCTCTTAGACAACCAAAATTTTCTTTATGTGCATACTAAGAAGAATTAGCCAAAATGGCTACATCTTTGAGCTTCATGTTTTAAGAAAGAAGTGACAAGTTTAATTAGTGTCCTAGCAGTTTTATATCAGTTATACATTTTGACACAGTTATAGTCATTTTGGAAGAAGGAACTTCAATTGAGAAAATGCCTCAACTGTATTGGCCTGTGGGCAAGCCTGTGGTGCATTTTCTTGATTGATGATAGATGGGGAGGGTATAGCCCATAGTGGGTAGGGCCATCTTTGGCCTGATGGTGCTGTAAGAAAGCAGGCTGAGCAAGCCATAGGGATCATGCCAGTAAGCAGCATCCTCCATGGCCTTTATATCAACTCAGCCTCCAGGTTACTGTCCTGCCTGAGTTCCTGTTCTGATTTCCTTCAATGATGAACAGCAATGTAGAAGTGTAAGCAAAGTAAACCCTTTCTCCTCCCAAGTTGCTTTTGGTTGTGGTGTTTGATCACAGCAGCAGAAACTCTACGGCAAATGGCCACAGCAGCATTGCTCAGCAGACAAAGGAGTTTAGTGAGATGCTAAGACATTCTCAAACCTGTTCTCGTCTCATCACAGAGCCTACCACTTAACATTAAGTCATAAATGGGTCTGTGTAAGGTGTACGGTTTTTCCGCCCGCCTCCTGGTCTTGACCCGCCGCCGCGCCAGCCCCAATAACGCACACCAAGACTCTGTATTTGATATAATCTGTTGGCCCATTACTAGTCTTATCGGCTAGCTCTGTCTTAATTATTAACCCATTTCTGCTGATCTATGTATTTCTCTTACCGGGGAGCCAGCCGGCATTCTGCTTTCTCCAGACTGTCCATCTTGACTCCTCCTCACTACTTCCTCTTTCCTCCTTGTCTCCTAGTCCCTCCTATCTTCTTTCCTATTGGCCAACAGTGCTTTATTCATTAACCAGTATGAGAAACATTTACAGAATGACCTCTCCCATCAAGTCTGCCATGTTTTCTTAGTTCTCTTTTATCTGTTAACCCATAGAGAAACTGTCCTATTCTAGATTTTTCTCATGGAGTAATATTCCAGAAAATTTTCTGCTTTGTGTTTATTTAAATTATAACAATATCTCCAGAGGTTTTATGCACATGGAGATGTTAGCTAGCATGATGGTGAGGAAGGCTGAAAGGTGTGGGTGGTCATGCTTTAATGCCTGTAATTGGACCACTCAGGAGACTGAAACATGAACTGGAGGTCAGCCTGAGCTACATAGTAGAGAATTCATCACAATAAAAAGGGAATAAAGTGGGGTTGTAGAGATAATCTGTGGTTAAGAGCATGGACTGCTCTTAGGATTTCTCTGTGTAGCTTTGAAGCCTATCCTGGCACTTGCTCTGTAGACCAGGCTGTCCTTGAACTCACAGACATCTGCCTGCCTCTTCCTCCTGAGTGCTGGGCTTAAAGGCCTGTGCCACAGCCCAGGCAAGGAAATATCCTTGCTTTTTCCTTTGCTGAACGAGTGGGGTTTTGTTTTTTTAAATCTACTCTTTTTCTTCAGGGCTATTGTTCTTTCAGAATCTCTATTTTAACTGGTAGGTCTCTGTAATCAGTTTCTTCCATGTAGCTAGTCTTGTCTATTTTATTTACTTTTTTAAATTATTTAATTTTTTTTGGTTTTGGAGACAGGTTTTCTCTGTGTAGCCCTGGCTGTCCTGAACTCACAGATACCAGCTTGCCTCTCTGCCTCTCAAGTGCTGGGATTAAGGTGTGTACGACCATGCCTGTCCGGGTTTATTTATTTTTATTTTATGTGTATGGGTGTTTTGTCTGTATGTATGTCAGAAAAGGGCATTAGGTCCCATGGAACTGGAGTCACAGACAATGTGAGCTGCTGTGTGGGTGCTGGGAACTGAGATTTTTCTGGAAGAGCAGCCAGTGCCCTTAAGCACTGAGACATTGATCCATCCCCATTATCTATTGAATTCAAACCAAAGTCCTTAAGTTACTTTGCCTTGTCTTCTCCCAGGAGCTGCATAAGTCATATTGTCATCTTAGTTTCCAATCTTGACTTTTCTGTTTCTTGGAAGCTCAGCTATTTCTGGAGGCATGTCTTGGGTATATTTTAGTCTGCATTAAGAGAGAACTTGTATCTTTTATACACTCCTATATCGCTTCAAGCATAATTCCATCCCTTTTCTCCCCAACTAAGTTCTATTTCTGTTTTCTAATTTTTTCATTCTTTTAAACTTAATTTAGGGTGCTGAAGAGATGGCTAAGTGATTAAGAGCAATTGCAGCTCTTGCAGAGGACCCAAGTTTGGTTCTTATATGGCACCCACATGCCAGCTCCCAACCCTCTATAGCTCTAACCCCAGGAGATCCAATGCCCTCTCTGTTCCTCAGTAAGGTCCTGCAAGTACATGATACACATAAACCACTGTGAACAAATAAATGAAAAGTATTTATATATTAAGTCTTTAGAGATAATGTCTCACTCTGTGGTCCTGGCTCTCACTCTGTAGTCCAGGCTAGCCTCAAACTCACAGACAAACCTGCCTCAACCTCCTGAGTATTCTGACTTTCACACGAATAAGTAAGTGTGGTCAAACTTCTTAAAAACCTTATGTTGTTCTCAAGGAGAAGAAAACTTTTTATAAATGTGCTAGAGAAACATAGTAGCTTTCTGTTTATCCTTTTTGCAAGAAGAGAAGGTGGATCTTTCCATTACTGACATTAAAAAATAAATAAAATTTTTTAAAGAACTCATGTTGGTCCTCACATTGCTCTTCCAAGTGGCTGGCCTGACCTTGCTGTCAAAGTGTACTTGACAGCTGTTTGACTGCATCTCTGTGTGCTTTGTGGGTTTTTTTTTTTTCTTTTTTCTCTTACAACATTTTAAAATTTATTATTTGATAATTTCAAACATATCTAGATCATACCCAGCCAGAATCGTTTTGCTTGTATGTATATCTGTGTTCTGTGTACATGTCTGGTGATGTTGGAGGCCAGAAAAGACCATTGGGTCCCCTGGAACAGGAGTTACAGACAGTCATGAGCTGCCACGTAGGTGCTGGGACTCGAACACCAATCCTCTCAGCAAACAGTCAATGTTCCTAACTACTGAGCCATCCTCTCCAGTCCCCCTTTTTTTTTTTTTTTTTTTTTTTTTTTTTTTTGGCTTTTTGAGACATGGTTTCTCCATGTAGCCCTGGCCTTGAACTCACGGAGAACACCTGCCTTGCCCCCTGAGTTCTGGGATTAGAAGTATGTATCACCATACCCAGACAAACAGGTCCCAGAAATCAGTTCTTCAGGCTTGATAGCAAACATCTTTACCCACTAAGCCATCTCATCAGCCTCTTCTCCTTTTTATAAGCCAGAGTCTAATTAGTGCTGCCAGCATCAGCAGCCATCAACTGCCAAGAGTCCCTCCATTATCCCCTCCTCATCCAAGCAGGATGTTGACTGGTTTAATCTTGTTGATAGCTGAGTGAAAAACAAGCTCATTGACTCTGGACTGACTGCTGGGGACCCTGCATAGGACTGAACGAGGCCCCCTGAATGTGGGTGGTAGTGGGAGGCTTGGGCAGTTAGTGGGGCCACTGGCAGTTGGCCCAACCCTAATGAATGAAGTGGGTTTTTGGAGCCCATTTCTTGATTCCCCTTGAGAGGCCTTACCCTCTCTGAGGAGCAGATGGGGGGTGAAGTGAGGGGAAGGTGGGGGAAACGGGAACTTGGATTAGTATGTAAAAAAATTAAAAACGAAAACAAGAAAACAGGCTTTTACCAGACTTACAGCACTAGGCATGAATAACCTCCGTGGAGCAGGCCTCACCCCATTCACAAAGTGGCTAGCTACCCCAAAATAGCCATGCTGTTATTACGCCAGCAGGCACATCTTGCTTGGCATGTGGTTTTTAACACACAGGATTGGAGCTGGAGAGATGGCTCCCAGTTAAGAGCACTGGCTGCTCTTCCAGAGGACCCAGCTTCAGTTCCTGTTAATGTTTTTGTTCTTTTAACTTTTTGAGAGGCCCACCACCCAGCTCCCAAATAATTCACACCAGAGGCTTATTCTTAGCTATGAGTGCCCTTCCACAGCTTGGCTTGTTTCTAGCTGGCTTTTCTTATCTTAAATTAATCCCTTAAATTAAATCCCTTTTTGGGTTGTATCTTTAAATTAATTAAATTAATCCCTCAGGGCTTTTATCTTCCTCACTTTTATATATCTTACTTTTCCTCTTTATCCAAGGCTGTCTGGGTGTCTGGGTGTCTGGGTGGCTGAGTGTCTGGGTGGCTGAGTGTCTGGGTAGC